TTTCTCAGGTGAAAAGGGGTTGCCAGTAGAAAGATTTTAAGAAGTCCTGGTCTATTCCTGGTTTTTGCCAAACTGCCAAACAGTTTTTCAAGCAATTTTTGCTTGGATAGTGAGTTCTTATCCCAAAAGCTTAGGTCAAGGGTGAAGCCTCAAGGCCACAGGTTTCCTACCCCTGGTTAAATCTTTGTATATATCAAATTCTTGATAACTGTGGTCATTTACTACTGGGTATTGTGTACCCAATATATTCTACTGATCCACCACTCTTATTTTTTAGGCAGTACCAGATTGTTTTGATGATTACTACTTTGTAATACAATTTGAAATCTGGTACTGCTAAGCCACGTTCCTACATTTTTTTTTAATTCCCTTGATATTCTTGACCTTTTGTTCTTCCAGATGAATTTTGTTATTTTTTCTAGTTCTAGAAAGTAATTTTTTGGTAGTTTGATTGGTATGACATTGAATAAGTGTTAGGTAGAATTGTCATTTTTTATTATATTGACTCGGCCTACCCATAAGCAATGAATATTGTTTAGATTTTAGTGTAAAAGGTGTTTTGTAATTATGTTCATATAGTTCCTAGGTTTGTCTTGGCAGGTAGACTCCCAAATATTTTTATTGTCTTCAGTTAATTTAAATGGAATATCTCTATCTCTTCTTCCTAGACTTTGTTGGTAATATACAGAAATGCTGATGATTTCTGTGGATTTATTTTATATCCTAGGTAACACTGCTAAAGTTGTTGTTTCAACTAGTTTTTTAGTTGATTCTCTAGGGCAGCTAGGTGGCACAGTGGATAGAGTGCTGGGTCTGGAGGAACTTCCTAAGTTCAAATCTGCCTTCATACACTTAATAGTTCTGTGACCTCGGGCAAGTCATGTAACCCTGTTTGCCTCAATTTCCTTATATCTAAAATGAGCTGGAGAAGGAAATGGCAAACCACTCCAGTATCTTTGCCAAGAAAACCACAAATGGGATCATGAAGAGTTGGACATGACTGAAAAAATGACTGAACAACAAACAGGATTCTCAAAGTATACTATATTATCTGCAAAAAGTGATAGTTTTGTTTCCTCATTCTCTAATTCCTTCAATTTCTTTTTCTTGTCTTATTGCAATAGTTAGCATTTCTAGTACAATATTGAATAAGTGGTGATAATGGGTGACCTTGCTTCACACCTGATCTTATTGAGAAGACTTCTACCTTATCCCCCTTACAGATAATGCTTGATGGTTTTAGACAGATACTATTTATCACTTACATCACCTTGCTGACAAAAGTCTGTATAGTCAAAGCTATGATTTTTCCAGTAGCAATGTATGGCTGTGAGAGTTGGACTATAAGGAATTGACACTTCCGAACTGTGGTGCTAGAGAAGACTAGAGAAGAGTCCTTTGGACAGCAAGTAGATCAAATCAGTCATACTTAAAGAAATTAATTCAGGCTGTTTAGTAGAAGGTCCCTTATGAAAGCTAAAGCTTTATGTATTATGGCCACATAATGAGAAGACAGGACTCACTGGAAAAGACCCTGATGTTGGGAAGGACTGAAGGCAAATGGAAAAGAATGGCAGAGTATGAGATGGATAGATAGTATCATGGAAATAATGAACATGAACTTGGACAGACTTCTAGAGATAGTGGAGGACAGACAGTCTATGGGGTTACTACTACAACTAAACTTATTTTACTTAAACTACTACTACTTATTGTAAAGAAAGCTTAGTTTTCCTGTGTTTTCTAGTGTTTTTTAATAGGAATATTTTATTTTTGTCAAAAGCTTTTTCTGCATCTATTAAGATAATATGATTTTTGTTGTTTCTGTCATTGATAATGGTCAATTACGCTGGTAATTTTCCTAATATTGAACCAGCCCTGCTTTCCGGGTATAAATCTCACCGAATCATAATGTATGATCTTTGTGATATATTGCTTCATTCTCCTTGCTAGTATTCAAAAGTTTCCTCAATAGTGCATATTTTTAAGGTAGATGTCATCTGCTATATATTTATTGATGGCCAAGATTTTCCATTAGCCCAGCACTGATGGTATTCACTGAAGATGTCTCTGACACTATTTGAAAAAATCTGCAATCAAATAGCATAACAAAAGAAAGACACATGTATATATTTTGACAACCCTAAGTTTAAAACTACATGTATGTGTATAAAATCAATCCCCAATTTACCAATTATCAGAGAAAAGGTTGTGGAGATGTCCTACTTTATCTTCTGATCTGTCCTCTACTCCTATGGTCAGGAAGGATAACTTTCCCTTAATTCTACAATGGTACTTTCATCCCACAGTACTCTGAGGTTCACAGTTCAGAGGTTCCCAAAGTGGTGATACGGCCCTCTAGGGGGAGGTGGTAGTAGCCTCAGGTGTAATTGGGGGCATTGAATAAAAATAAGGGACAGTGGAAGCATTAAGGAAAGAAGAGAAGAGAATTTTGAAAAACCATTCCAACATGTTTCATCTGTTGCGTAACAGAGTCACATTATTTTCCAAATAAACACACAAAATGCAAGTTATAACTGGTCAGTGGTCAAGTCCACCAACAGGTCTTAACAAGCACCTGTTGGCAGGTGAGGGTGTCAGGCATTGTCGGGAAGTCCAGCATGCATCATTAGGAATATGTGCATGTCATAACTTCTTTACAATACTATATGATTACATGGTGCAATCATCAAAATTTCAATGCAGGAAGAAAACACAAATTTACAGTAAGTTATTAAATTTAAGATGCGTCATTTCAAAAAAAAAAAAAAAAAGACCGTTAAAGAAAGTAGATTTCCAGGGTGGTGCTAAGAATTTTTTTTTTAAAAGGGGACGATAGGCCAAACAAGTTTGGGAACCTCTGGTTCACACTATTGATGACACAGGGGATGTTTTCTACACAAAGTCAGTCAACTAGTATTTATCAAGCAGCTATTATGTGCTAGGCACTGTTCTAAGTACTAGGGATACAAAGAAAAGGGAGAATAACTCTGCTCTGAAGGAGCGCAGTCTAATGAGAAAATAGGGAAACAACTATAACCAGTAAAATATATACAGGACAAATTGGGAGTAGTCTCAAAGGAAAGACACTAAGATTAAGGATACCTGCAAAGGATTTCTTGCAGAAGGTGGGACTTAGCTGAGATTTAAAAGAAGGCAGGAAGCTGAGGCAGAGATGGAGTGGGAGACAGTTCTAGGTACGACAACAGCCAGTAAAAATGCTTCTAATTGGAGTGTTGCATGGGAGGAACAAGGAGGCCAGTTTCACTGGATGGCACAGTATGTGGAGAGAAATAGAGGGTACAAAAACTAAAAATATGGGAAAATACCAGAATAAGAAGGGCTTATTTAAAAGCCAGTCAGGATTTTAATTTTTGATCCAGGAGGTAATTATAGGGAGCTTCCGAAGCTTGGTGAATTGAGGAAGTGTGTGTTATAGGGTCAGACCAGTCTTTTAGGAAAATCACTTTGATAGGTGAATGGAGAATGCACTGGCCAGAAGCCAGCAGCTATTGTAATAGTCCAGCTGTGAGATAATGAGGACCTGCACAAACATGGCCACAGTATCAGAGGAGAAAAAGTGTTCAGAGAGAAGAAAAAAAAAAATCAAGACACTTCTACATTGTTTGGCATCTAGAAGACTGTACAATTTCATTTAAAAATCAGGAAAAATCCCTTCCCTTGCTTTTATGGGAAAAAAAAAAGGACTGAGGGCAACATAGTAATAATCTCCCCACTTTATTCTGGTACAAAAATTTATAAAAATGAAGTGATTCATACACACATCCCTCCTCCCCTCCACCCTGCCCCTCCCCTTTTTCACACTTCCATACTTTACAGCTTGGCAGGGACCAAAGCCTGTTCTTTACACTTGCCAAAAGGCTTTCTTCTTTCTTGATCTCCACCCAACCCCAACCTGGAGCCCATCTTCCACTTTTGCATAAACAAACACCTTCATCCCTGGGATAAGATCACCCAGAGAACCTCCCTAGTATCTTGTTTAACTCTTGAGTGTGCATCCTTTCTTACTCTAATACAAACATCAAGCTCTGGTCTTACAGCAGATGTTTGTTCTGGAGGCCGAGAACATCCACTCTCCTTAAAACCACATTTTAAAAATGAATTTTTATTTAATTATACACAATTGCTACAGTTACCATGTTATATATAAAATAAATCACCAAAAACCAGTGGAATTCCTGTGGCCACTGCTTTCACACATACATAATAAATATCTTAAGATGTTGATTTAATGGTAAGAAATTCACCGTATAACACATTCAGTGGTATAGCTCACTTCATTCATCTTTACAGTTTTTATTATTTTTTTTATAACTCAAAATCAAAGTTGTGGACAAGTTAGGGTTTGGGCCAAAAAGATTAACCAAAAAAAAAAAAAAACCCAGTCCTTTTATTTTTGCCGATTTCTAGCACTACTTACTAACCAAAGATCAGTAATTTTGTGATCGAATCAACAATTTGCAAACTAACCGCATTTAATGCTTTGGCAAACAGTTCTAAGGGAGAAATCTAGTCTAGGATAAGGATTCGTTTTTAATGTTACAGATCTTTCAAAAAGAATATCCAGATCACTGTTTTATTAAGACAATTTATCACTCAAACTCTTCACAAAAAAACACCCTGATTTTCTCAAACTGGCACCAATCCTAGTAAATACTTTGGACCTAGTCCATTTCACACTAAGAGCCCTGCATTTGATTTTATCATTGCTGTGGCATTTTAAAAATAAGTTAATAAAAAATACCGAGCAACAAGGGGGGGGGGAATCCTGAATGTTTTTTGTTGTTGTTTTTAAAATGACAGGAGGCATGATACAAATGTTTTTAATAGCCAACCCAGTACAGTGGATAGAGTGCTGGGCCTGGAATGAGGAAGACTCGTCTTCTTGACTTCAAATCCGGCCTCAGACATTTACTAGTTGTGTGACCCTGGGCAAGTCACTTAACCCTGTTTGCCTCAGTTTCCTCATCTGTAAAATGAGATGGAGAAGAAAAAGGCAAACCCCTCCTGTAGCTTTGCCAAGAAAATCCCAAATGGGGTCACGAAGAGTCCAACACCACTGAAGACAACAAAACCACAATAGGACTTGTTACCTAGGTTAACCGAAAGGTTCAAGAGGAAGCACAAGTCTTCATGAATGTCAAACAAAGGTATACGGGTGCCATTATTCCACAAATTTGTTTCCATCTTGGTTCTATTATGAGAAGGATAAACAAGCTACATTCTGAAGGTTCATCTTCCCTCTGATATATTGGCATGCTTTATTTATAGGCCTCCTTACCAAATTACTTCAAACCTACATCCTCTATCAAGCTCAAATGATTTCAATTGAGTGCAGGGACACTTACCAGAAAAGAAAACATAATGAAAAACATATGGATGTTTCCTTCTGAATCAGGGGAATGGTTTTTAGTTTATTATCCTGTCTCATTCATATAACCTACATTGAACTTACAACAGTAATGAGAGTAACAGTTTGCACTAGACATCAGAACCTTTTTAACCCTCAAATGTAGGCCTGACATAAAAGAGCAGTAATTACAAGAGCAAGGGAAAAAAAAAAAACATTACTAGTCCTCTTCTGTGCTGTTGTGTCTGTCTTGATAAGAAAGTAGTTTTACAGTACTTGGTCACAAGACGCTGTGTTTCCAAGGTTTGGAAGGTGCTTTACAAAACTTAGCTGCCTGAAAAAGATTCAGAAAGCCAGCCTGGCTCTTTGGCTTTACACAGTAAGCACTTTGTGTGATTCTTAATCACATCTTTATCCAGAACACAATGTTACAGGTCACATTTTTTTTTCTTTACACAATGCTTATACTGATTTGTGCTCTATAAATATATCATAGATTTAGAATACACACACTGACACAGGGTTGGTATATGTTTAGCCAGCCATCCATAAGCAGAATGGAATAAAGATGGCAGGAAGAGTAGTATGAGGTGCCAAGCCTAGACAGACAATTGATGCCAATCCCAGGATGGCTGAAGCAAGGACACTTCTCTGGTCCCGGATTATTATCTTCACGTTCTCACAAAACTGAAAAATAAAAATTAAAAAGATTTTAAAAGAGTTTCTTTGTAAAGGCATTAAGAATATAATGTTAAGCAATCCTGAAAATTTTTTCCTACTTATCCAATGAAACCACCAATTTGGGGAAGGATTTGAGATTTTAAAACTAAATTCTGAGCTCTGTAAGTCGCATCAATTAAATTCAACAAAATTTATTAAAGGGCTTACTAATGTGCTTTTATGTATTCTGCCAAGGCTGTAAAGACAAAAATGAAAACAGTCCCTGTGCTCAATGATATAAATGCCCCTTAAATTCTACTTTTAAGTTATTGTAAATTCAACACATTCAGGAATGTGTATAGGGAAAACTACCGATGTTTTGCATATTAAACACAGAACAGCTTCTAGCCATTTTTCAGAATCCAGGTACTAGGACTGAGCTGGAAGGAATCTTAAGAGTGATCTCAAAATTTATCCCACTTCATTTTACAGTTGAATTATGACATAAAAATATGGGAAAATGCACCATAAAACAGTAACATCCAGGAAGAAAATAGATTCAGAGTTGAGTTATATGTTATAAATGGCTAGTTGGATGATTTTATTAACCTTTGGAAAAAACTCAAGATGAACTACTTCTCCATAGGAGAAACATGAAAAAAGTACCAGGAAATAATCTCCAGTATCAAAGCTTTGGGAAAGTATTTCTCCTGAATTTTTGTGAATTCATAAACTTATTTTCTAAACTAATGAATTCATTTTGAGACTTTAATTATTTATAGAACATCATTTATTTTGAGACTCCTTGGGCCAAAATAATTTAAAGGGAAATACTATGATACTTTAATTAAAAGTACAATATTTTAGTACTTCTACTAGTAGGATGTCAGGCTGCAAATCTAGTGGATAAAGGCTACCTTGGAGTGAGAAAGACCTGATTTTCAAGTCCTTACTCTAACCCAGGGGAACTTAGCTTTTTTTTTTGTCATGAGACTTTTTTTGGCAGTCTGAAAAACCTATGGACCCCCTTCCCCCTTCTTTTTTTTAAAAAATGTATTTATTTATTTATTTTTAGTTTTCATCTTTCACTTTTGAAAGATTTTGAGTTCTAAATTTTCCCCCTTCCTAAGAAGGCATGCAATCTGATATAGGCTATACGTGTACAATCATATTAAACATATTTTCACATTAGTCATGTTGCAAAATAATAATCAGAACAAAAGGGAAAAACCATGAGAAAGAAAAAAAGAGAGAGAAAGCAAATAATATGCTTTAATCTGCATTCAGACTCCATAGTTCTTTCTCTGGATGTGGATGGCATTTTCCATCATGAGTCTTTTGGAACTGCTATGAACCCCCCTCTAACAAATATTGTTAAATTTACTAAATACATAGGATTGCCAAGGGAACTGAGGTATTTAAGTACAAGTTTTCAAACTAACTTTTTAAGTTCATAGACACACCAGTTTAAGAACCCCTGAGTCTCTCAAAAGTTACCTGAAGTGACCCCAGGGCAAATCACTCATTTAACCTTTCTGTCTCAGGGCAACTTTCTAACACATAAGCTGTATAATTAACTGTTCCCTGTAACAACGAAATCACAGGTCTGGACTCTGTGCACTCCTTCCCCAGTTCAAAAATTCAAGGAATAACATATAGATCAAAATCTTTCCATCAATGTGGATATATAACATTAAATTTTACAGCAATTTTTAACAAAAAATTCTAATTTGTTCTTTTTAAAAGGACAGATTTGTGACTGAAATGGAAGCATGTGGTAGGCTGAGAACTCAGGCTGACTATTTTTCTGAAGAGAAGCCCAGTCCTCTTTTGGATCATGACCTACTTCTCTAAGTGCTGCACACTGGGAAAAACCATTCTTTGAATTATAAAATTTGGGATGAAGATTTCAAAAACTAAAACAAAACAAACCAACAAAACAAAAGAAAATAAAACCAGCCAGTCCAGTAGGCAGGCTCTTTTTGTTAGGCTATTCAAACTGAAGACAAAAACCTCTTAGCTACAGAAGAGGTATTAAGCAGCTAAAGCAATTAAAACACTTCTCTTCCCAGTCTGTAAAACCTGGCAGAGTTTAGTGATGAAAAGCTATGCCATTGGTTAGACATGGAGGTAGAGGGGGCGAGAGAGACAGGCACAGAGAAGAGAGGGGGGAGAATGAAAGAGACAGATTTGTCCATTTGTTCTGTAGTATACTGCCAGACTTGGTTGGAGTCTGGAGAGAAATAAGGTTGTGAATCTTCCCTACATATACACAATATGACCCTCGTGGAAAATCATTTAACCTCTGAGGATTACTCAACCTCTCTTCATTTGTAAAATAGGGAATACATAATACTAGTAAATCACCTCATAGGGTTGTTCTGAAGGATCTAAAAGTGCTTTGCATACTTGAGGTGCCTAAATGTCAGCTATTCTTCATGTTTCTAAAATGAATTTTCTATCAAAAGACTTCTCTTCTAAGGGGAAGATAAAATTCACAACTCCCAGCCCCTGAGACATCTCTAGTAGCACTAAATAACCTTACCACCTAATATAATCCAAAGTCTGTGAAGGCTGTTCTAACTAGAGTACTCATGTGTGTTCCAATAAAGAGCAACTCCTAATTACCAGACAGAAATACTGTTCTCTCTTTGAGTAATGATTTATATGCTTGGTTCCTAAATAAATCTGCCGTGTTTCCTTTTGTATACTTTTGGAGCCAGGATTGCTAAGTGTGGTAAAATTCACTTATAACTAAGCCTAGACTTTGGTAAGGTTGTGACTTCATTTCACTGCACACAATGCAGTACTGTACCTTCATTTTATTTGGAAAATATGCCAGATCCTTTCCATATTCAGTCCAAGAAAGCTAATAAAAGCAAAAATAAAAAGTTTTGTATTGCTTTGGAGACTAGTGGTTAACTATTTTTTAAGGGAGTCAATACAATATGACATAAAACAACTATTAAATCATTGCTTTATTAGTATCTGGGCCCAATTTCTAAGGAACTATGCAAAAAACACTATTCTATTATCTTAAGAAAGTTTTTCTAAAAAAAGAAGTGAATAATTTTTAAAAAAATCAAAATCCAGAATAAATGTCTTACACTGAGTTCAGAGTTGTTCTTCTTCAACTCAACTGACATTTTTAATCATGTGCAAAAGACAAGATGATGATACAAATTTAGCATTTCTGAGCATGCAAAATATAATCCATTATTTTAAAAAAAAGTGATTGTTCATTTTTAGCAATTCACATTACGGTGTTAAGTAGCCCTGTCCTTCACATGGCAACCTTTGCTTGCAATCTAAAAATTTTATTACAGGCTTAGAATTTTAATCAGTTTCAAAAAAAGAAAAAAAAAGTACTTTAAAATCATTCAGTCCTCAATTTTGAGCTTCATGGCCAAACATAATAATTTAAAACTTATGTAAATTCCTATTTATATGGTCTTCCATTTTCAAGATGGCATCTTAAGCATCAAAGAGCCTGCCTGATATTGTCAAATTATTCTTGGGGAGTGTTAAGACAAACTAAGGGTTTCAGGTTAAGAAGCCTTAAGGAATCCACAACAGGAATAAACAGCTAGCTTGGTTGATACCCCAGAAACAAAAATGAAGCCACCCACCCCCAACCATGTGGCTAGAAAGGCTTTGCTTGACTCTGTTTAAAAAAAAAAAAATTCAGAGGAAGGGAGGGGTTTGACAAGCAGTTTAGACTATGCCAAGGGCATCAGTGGAGCTTGCTGAAGAAGGAAACTCGATTCCTCCCTCCATAAAGCAAATTTTAAAGGGTACAGGAGATTTTTTAAGAAACTGTAACATATAAACTAGGACACTTCCTTCTTTTTCCAGCCTTACTTCCTGGAAAAGGTGCAATCACAGGGTGACAAAATTCTCGTGGCCCGAAGTTTCATTGCTCCTGTGTCACTAAAAACTGTGTTTAGGGTGGACACCCAGCTGACTTAGAGGTGAAGCTAATAAACACAGCTAAAATGGAGGGGGAACCTTCAGTTAGCATCAGATAGATGTTTTTAAGAGTTACTCTTGGAGAGGCATATCTTTAAACTCGTTTCTCCCCTTTCTAAGAGCAAGGAAAATGTTAGGAAGTCTGACAAACTTTGGGGTTCGGAAACTGACGCTATTAGGGTTGGGGTTTTTTTGTGAGTGCTTTTTTCTTTTTTTTAAGGGGTTTTGTTGAAGAGAAGCCAAATTTCCCCGAAGGGAGTCAGATTTCTCTACATGTCCCCTCTTTTCACAGTGGGTGTAACTGCCTTTACCTTGTCTGCCTGGGGGCTGATTGGGGCACCGTATCTACAGTACGTGACAAAGTGCTCGCAGTTGTTCCACAGGAGGCTATACGAAGTCATGCCCAGCAGCTTCTCTGCCCGGCGGGCCACCTCCTCGTTGCCCAGCGCCTTCCTCTGCAGCGACTCATCCAGGTGGTTGACCAGAATGTTGGCGCCGTAAGCAAAGTCCTCCACCGTGTCCACCCGGATGCTGGCGACCTTGCAGATGACTCCCAAAATCAGCCTCTTATTGGACACCACCGGCTGGGTCAGCAGCTTGTCGTCGGTCAGCGCGAGCAGGATGTCGGGCATCAGGTGAGCGACCTGGTTGTCCCCCAGGTAGATGCCGTAGTGGGTCAGATGAGTCCGAGGCACCTCCAGTACGTCGCCGCGGAGGAAGGAGCCGATGTCGTATAAGTTCCCCTTGCCCTGCTGCTGCTGCTGCGGCGGCGGCAGCGGCGGCTGCTCTTCCCCGGGGGCCGCGCTCCAGCTGAACAGTTTGAGGTTGGACAGGAGAAGCAGCTTTTCCAGGAGCAGGGACACCACCTCCAGCATTGGGTTCTTCATCCTTTATCCGGGAAAGAGACAGAAAGAGACAGGGAGGAAGAGCGCGCGCTCAGGAGGCGCTCGGGGAGCTGGGGGCTCGCCAGCCGTGCCGTGGGGGGGTCCTGCGCCAGGTCACCTGCGGGCTGGCGGCTTCTCCCTAGTCCTCCTCCCGGCTGGGGAGGGCAGCGCGGCTGACAGCGGTAGCAGGGCAGGAAGCAGGCACACAGGAGGCAGCCAGGGAGGAGGGGAGGGCGAGACCGGCAGGGCGAGGAGGAGGAGCGCACCTGGAAGGTGAGGCCGTCCCCGCAGCGGGCCCCGCGCTGATTGGCGCTGCCTTCGGCCTTCGCCTTTTATCACAGTCTGAGGGGCGGGGCTCGAAGGCCGTCACAATGCGAAAAACGCGTCCTGATTGGGCGAAAGGAGGCCGCGTGGTGCCGCTGGAGCGAGGGAGGAGGAACCGAACTCACTTTTAAGGGAGGGATGCCGAGTTGTTCTTTGGGATGGCTGGGAGCTCCTCGCGCTGAATCTGGTTTTCCAGGACCTAGTCCGGCGACCTTGTGGGGCCTTTCTGGTCCCACTGTTCAGTATGTATGCAGAGACTCCTGCTCGAAACATGAAAAAAAAAAAATCTATGGGAACCAAAGCAAAGAGATATGGTCGGAATGCATTCAGAGGCGGAACACAGGGTTAGGAATCCCGAGTCTCTGCTTACTTACTTGGGTGACTTTAGGCAAGTCACTGCGCCTCTGAGTTCTGTGCCAGTGGAGACAAAAGACTTGGCCAAAGACAACTTGGCCTTTCTTCCTGAGCCCCTCTTCAGTTTCTGTGCTTTGGTACTATCTTCTGCTGGTGAAAGTCCCCTGGGGAACAGATTTCTTATGCTAGGGAAAGCCTATTAGATAGTATCACTTTCAGGGTACTGAGCAAGTTTGACGAACAAGTACCCTCCTCCCAACAACAATACCTCAGCATCTTAAGAATAAAAAAAGGCAATGAATCTCTAGAGCACCGGTCCTGGAGTCAGGAGGACCTGAGTTCAAATCCGGCCTCAGACAATTGACAATTACTAGCTGTGTGACCCTGGGCAAGTCACTTAACTACAAAAGCCTAGCCCCCTCCCCCCAAAAAAGAATAAAAAAATGGCCAAGCAAATGGAAGTCCCTAAATAAAATATATTCTAAATTCTGTAAAGCAGAAATAGAGTTAAGGTTGCTTGTACATGGATTTTTGCACACTTCACTTATCCCAATTTTAGAGTTCCCATTAAATACTACATCAGTTTGTAAAATCTGGAGGTAAAGGGGAACCTAAAGAGGTCATTCAAACCATTTGCCTTTACAGGTGGGGAAATTGAGGTTTCGTGAAAAGAAGTGATGATGCCCAAGGATACACAGGCAACAGGTTACATAATAAGAGAGTTAAACGCCCAGATTCAGAGCTCTGCCCACTGCATCAGCTTGCCTCTTGTTGCTATTTGTTTCCCTGTAATATTAGATAAGCACAACAACAATATAGGTGCATTCACTCCTTTTCTGACCAGTAACCATGTTAAGGAGGCATTGATCGTGTGACGTGCATTAAAATCAGAAAGGTTGGGCGCACACACACACATACGCACACACACACACCCACACCCACACCCTATTGTATTGACAGTTTTAGTAATGAAGTTTCCCAAGATTTTCAAGTTTACACGTCCATTCCCTTAACCTACTACTGCTTCCCAAGAACCGTTACATTGTATTGTTCCTTGCTTGAACTCTAGGGTGCCCGCTAAACGACCACAATTGTTTTTCTAGGCTTTGGGAGTTTTCCTTTTAAAAACGCTACAGTTTAAAGGTGCAAAGGGAAGGCAGTAAAGGTTTATGAGACTTGAGGACTTAACAGAGAAGGAAAAGGCACCAGGGCGGAAACAAGCACTCAGACACTGATTTCTTTTCAGAGTACATCTGCATTCTAAATAGGTCGATATGCTGGCCAACGGAAAACAGGTAGCTGGAGGTGGGTAAGGAAGGGAAGGATGCAGTGGGAATATGGATTTTTTTTTAACCACAACCAACTAGTCTCAGAGTTCCTGGAGCCGACTGCCACCTCCAAACCCTCAGAACAGAGTTACATGCTAATCCATTATGTAAATATATCAATCCCGGGGGACAAAGCTCACAATAGAAAGCTTCAGACAGGTCAACAAAGCCGCGCAGTCTGAGGCTAATAAGTTTCAGCCACAGAGCAAATTCCCGGCTCCCCAGGGGGAGGGAGGTTTGCTGGGGGGGATGATGGATGGCGGGACATTCATCTTACCTGGAAGATGAAGAGGTCCTTGGAGATCAGGAGCGGAGGGGGCCGGGTTCCCCATTATCCTTCGAGACTGGAGGGTTTTTTTGTTTGTTTCTGTTTTTTGTTTTCCCCTCCCATTCCTCTGTCTGCCTGGAGCGCGCCCTGTCCCTGTTACCCCTACTTGCCAGTCACTTTTGTTCATCTTACAGACGCGTCATAGTCACATTAAAGCTTCATCCAGCAAAAAAAAAAAAGGAAAATTCCGATTCCCAATAGACGCGAAGGGAAGGGAGGAGAGGGGGAAAAGAGGCGGGGTAGGATGGGGTGGACATCTTTTTTTCCCACAGTCTTACCCCAATTCTGAAGCATTCGGGGACGCAGAACATTAAAATGAACATCCTCCCAATTTACTTGAGTTGCTGGTAAATCGGGAAGTGTAGTAGTCACTTGCCCATAACATACATTTCCGTGTGTCCAGGGCAGGGACCGAAAGAGGGAATCTCAAAAGGTCCCTGGACAGTATGTAGTAAAACTCGATAGGTTGATAGACGGACAATTGGAATTGATTCTGGTTTCTGAAGGCCCATAAGAATGCATGGGACATATTCCATCTATCTTGGGAATCAGTACAAGTGCAGAAAGATGTTTCATGGCAACTTTATGAAGCATGTTTTAGAACTATGTGTCCTACTTTCCTGTCCCATTTCTCCCAGTCCATACATACATACCTGAGCCAGGATGAATATTACAAGAAAATATATATTCAATAAGCATTAATAGTCTGCCAAGGGCTTAGTACTTTTTTTGAATCTGAATTTTCATATTTGCTCCTCCTGTCCTAGTAGAGGAAACAGGAGTGGGATGTTATTGTTATTGAATTGTGATTTCTAGACAGCTCAGAGTAATGATCAATTTTTCTTTTTTTATTAGGGTTGGAATCCAGTTTCCAGATTTTTAAGAAAAAAAGCTATAGAAATGGGCTTTTCTTTAATTGGAATGAAATTTAAGAAAGTTGGGAAGTAGAGGGAGGGGCTTCCTTGAAGGTCTAACACATTTAACTGTTCGGGGCTGCCAGTCCCAAGTATGTTATGTTTTGCTTTTCCTAAAGGCCTCTATTTCTGTCGGAAAAATCCGTGTTCTAAGAAAACAACGTCCCTTTTGACTATAATTTCCAAACTTTAATCTTGCATTCTGAAAACTAAGTTGCGCCATTCATCCTTGGCACTGGATTCTCCAGCTGCACTCCGACAAAAGATTAGGAATCAGACAAACTAAAGGTGTAGCAGAGGAATATTTCTTTCCCACCCCCATCCCCCTTGTTTTCTGTTGCCTGCAGCAAAACCGTAAGGTAGTTTGGGTGTTGGCAAAATTAGGTCTGGTTTGCAACGTGTTTCACATTAAATTGTAGGATAGACGAACTCGCTAATAATTTAAGCAGAATCCCAGTCTCTCTCTCCTTCAACTGCAAGTTTAGTTTGAGGGGGCGGGGCGACTCCCCTTAATTACATTTTCAAGTGCTATTTCAATTTACTGAGAAGTATTTTAGATGACTTTGTAGTGATTTGGAATGATTTTTCACTTACACATTCACAGAAAAATTGCAGAAAAAATGTGCCTGTCTACCTGGTTTCTTAAAGAAACCCGATGATTAATTCATATACAGAGGAAAAGATAATGGAAACCTAAATTAAATTAGAAAGCAGGTGCTTGCACTGTGTCAGGAAGGGAGCATTTAAAAAAATAAAATTCTAGTAACACATATATATATATATATATATGTATATTTGTGTGTGTGTATATGATTCTTATTTAGAAGAGAAGAACCCCTAGATTCCCAACTACAGGTAGATGGGGGAAGAAAAAACTAAAATTTCTAAGAACCCAACAGGACAAGCAGCTATGGTTCAAGAAGGAGGGTCTGGCTCAGATCTAGCAAAATGCCAGCAGTGGCCCTCCCTTCCCCAGAATCCTAAGGCCTTCTTCCCTCACTCAATACCACAGGGTTTAGGCTAAATTCCTGACATTTTCATCTTATTTCACCAATCAGGTTTCATCACTGGGAAGGCCTGTGCCAAGCATTCAGTGGAGGGTGGATGGCACTGCCTGGGCTGAGCCATTTATAATCTTTTTAGAACCAAATCTTCTCTAGACTTTTGGACAAAATTCACAGTTCCCAAATCACTCATGTGTTTCTGGAAGATTATGGGATTTGGGAGGTGGGCAAGGAGGGCAGAGTTAAAACATTTCCTCCACTGCAGTTCTGGGAGGGATGCTGCGTTAGGATCGTGGCATTTGTCTGTCTGAACTTCTATTTGCCCTGCCTGCTGATTTTCCCACATCTCAGCGACCACTTTGCTGTGGATGATATTATAAAGACAATACCTCACTTCAGCATATTCCTTTCAAGCTCCAAGCAAGCTGCTGATCTCCAACCCCTTCTCTAGATGCTGGGGCAGGTCTTTAATGGCAAAAGTGCCCACGGGTTAATGATACCCTTTGGAGCTAATCAGGATAAAAGAATATGCATGTTGGGGAGGCGGGGCTGGGAGGCCAAGGATTTGAGGCAGTATTTCATAGGAGCATAGGAGGCAATGGAAAGTTTTATTTGAAACTGGGTCCTGTCACTTCCTACTGTTGTGAACTTGGTAGGCTTTGTTTTCTACATCCGTAAAAAGAGGAGGTTGCACTAATTGGCCTGGATGGTCAGCCCTGAATCTATTGTCCTGATTTGGAACTGGAACGAACATTAGCCATCAGGTGTAGTTAAACTTGCTTCTTTTACAAATGAGGAAATGGAAGTTCAGACTTGGAAAATGACTAGCCTATGTTCACACAGGTAGTTAGTAGTAGCAGAAGGGAGATGCAAGGCCAGGTTGAATCCAAACTGGGCTCTCTTTTACTTGGAGCCCATGGATCAAGGTCCTAAAGCCCTTTATATCAACAATGCCTCTTGACTTGGCTATTTAGACAGCATATTCATAATACCTCTGTGGCCTCACTGCAGTACTTTGTAACCCCTTAAGAAATGCCACCAGTATTCAATTACAATCTTGAACCATACCTTTTTTTTAAATGGGAGAGAGAGAAGATATTTTAAAAGAAACCAAAAAAAATCCAAAAATTAATTTTAGAAATGACAAAAATGTTTAATCCAAAGTTATTAAAAACTTCTAAATTATTTGATACACTTTAAAATTAAAAATATTTCCATAGCTATAACATTAAAAAATTAGCATTAAACAGGAACAAGAAATTGTATTTTCAATTAGACAACAGAATTAGAACTAGAGAACAATTTAGTTAGAGAACAGCGCTCTGTAGAGGTATTTTATTAAAATAGTTTTAAAAATTTTTTTCTAAACTTCATTTATTATTATCAGGCAATATCAACACACCTATTTGGAATTAAGTGAAAAACACTTTTTCACTTAAACTATGACAAATCAAAAGAGAAAATGTGGCTGCATGTGAGGGAAACAACTATACTTGCTTTTATTACAGTTCCTTTCTACAAGGAACTCTGTATAATCCACACCAGAACCCCATCCTCCCAAGGTACTCTGCACATAGAAAACTCTTAATAAATGTTTGATGAATGAATTACTACCTCTTTGTAAGTTAGCTTTACCATTCATGTCATCTTACACATTCACTATTATGCACAAAAGGAATTGTGAACTGAGAGGATCCTCTTAATCAAATGAGCCAATTAAAATACTGTCTTCTAAATTACAGCAAATGACTTGGAGAATATACTCAGGAATTTTGTAAGATGTCATAGAACTAGTTTATAAACGAATTTACTGAATGCACATGTCAACTCCCATATCCTTGGAGTAAGCTTGGCTTCCTCCAGATCTTTTGGGTTTTTCCTCAGTACAATTTTGTCCTCAGCATCCTCAGCTCCATTGATACTATAGTTCTTTTATGGGCCTTCCAGAAGATCTCAGACTTGAAGACACAGAGGAGACCAATCAATCCATCCTGGAATCCCTCAGGAGATCTGCAGGGACTGACCATTCAATAAGCCTCACATTGGTCTAAGGGATCCAGGACTGAATGAGATAACTAGTACCCCCAAATAGTGAACTGATCTTACTAGAGATACAAAATCAACCCTGTCTCCAAAAGATCCTTGAAACTGGGGTTTTCCAGGGCCAGCTAAAATCCTCTAGGCCCTGTTGGCACAATTAGTAATAGCAGCTGACATTTAGATAACTAAATCTTAAAGTGCTTTACAAAGCTTATGTAGCTTGGTCCTCACAGCAACCTAGTGAGGGAGGCGTGATTATTATCATAATTTTACAGATGAAGAAACTGAAGCTCAGTGAGATTAATAGAGTTGCGCAGGGGTTACATAGCTAGAGAGTGTACAAGGAGGGTGTTTTGAGTAAGGTCTTCCTGATTCCAGGTACAGTACCTAGTCTCTAACAGGCAGGACCAGCTCTGAGCCAAAGGGTTTGGCCAGAACCAAACCAGGTGCAGGAATGAGCTAAGACTAATGGTATTTCTTTTTTCTTTTCTTTTTTTTTTTTTTTTGCATTCACTTGTGTCAAGCAGAGCTCTGACAGTGGGCAGTTAAGTCACACCAACTCCAGTCACTTAGCATTTTAGCGTAGCATTTTATCATCTAAAGGGTGGCTATGTTTTGTGATCTTGGGTTAGTTATTTAATCTCTTAGTGCCCCAAGTAACATTATAATATGCAGAGCATGTGCCAACATAGAGGAAGTTTTCTCCTTGGGAGTTCTTCATACCAATGGATTGGCTAAAGAAAAAAGGTGGTTATAATATAAATTTATTTTTGCTCCTGACTGCTAAAGTATTTCTCCTTTACTAGGGTCCAGTTTTGTATATTTTAATGATCTCTGGCATTTCATCTTGGATGCCTCATTGCCAAGTGACACAGGGCAAGGAGGACAAAATACCTGCTTTTCTCCTTAATTTTTCTTTCCGTCCCATTACAGTTACCACTGAGATCTCGAGGATCTTAAGAGATCATGCAGTGAAAGGCCTTTGCGCAGGGATTTGGTTTCTTCTAAGCTTTTTATAGCTATACTATTAGCACTCAACTAATAACATACAGACATTTCTGAGGCTTAAGTAATGTTTACAAAAGTGTTTAGAGCTACAGATTAAAGATAGTACCGACATCCAAAGTACTACTAGTTAAATTAGATCCTTCTAAATTTTATTTACTTTGAGCTGTATTCTTTCTTAACTGAAAACTGGACATCAAGGGTCCACAGTCTTTTTGTGAGACCCTAATTTTAATTTTCCTGAAAGCTTGCAATTACTTCTTGGAACACTTACCTTTTTCAATTCCATATACTGGCTTCCTGGCCTCCTTAAAGTCTCAACTAAAATCCCCCCTTTTTTTTTTACAGGAAGCCTTTCCCAACTCCTCTTAATTCCAGCACATTCTCTCAATTATTTCTTATTTATCTTGTATATAGCTTGCTTTTTATATATTTGTTTGCTTGTTGTCTTCCCCGTTAGACTGTAAGGTCCTTGAGGCAGGAGCTTATCTTTTTCCTCTTTTTGTATCCCTAGCGTTTAACACAGTGCCTGGCATGTAGTAGGCACTTAATAAATGTTTACCAATTTGGTTGATTGATTCCAAGTGACAGCCTACTAAGGCAAGTAAGAATGTTGAAAGTAAAGTCATTGATTTGTAGATTTAGGGACCATCACGTCTGCCCCCTACTTTGTTTTACAGAGGAGGAAACTAAGGTGGAAAAAAAGCTAGGTGATTTGCCCAGGGTCACACAGCAAGTGAGTGTATGTAGTATTTTAACCCAGATCTTCCTGATTCCAGGTCCCGTATGCTATCTGTGGAGCACTTGAAACAGGCCCTGGCACATAGTTGGCACTTAATAAATGCTTATTACCTTTCCTTCCCCCTATCTAATACACTACACTTCTGCTGAACAAGAGGAAAATAGGCCTTCAATCCCATAGCTATTGGAAATGCCTGCAACTTCTGGAAAGGGTATGTAAGAGAGATTGAAAGGACTCGATATCATCAACCAGTTTCATTGTTTAGTAGGTTGTCTGCTTCCAGACTACTGATAGATCCAAACTTTGGTTAGGGACTCCTATCTCCAAGCCAAGTTAGTGCAAGTTTGACCCATTGTCAGGGAGTCCAATATAGCTGCAGTAGGAGTGATCTGGAGAACCTCTGCTCCATTTGAAGAACTCACCCAATCTCCCTGGTGAGATTAGTGGAGGCCCTCATGAGTTCACTCTGTCCTCGAAGCAATGGGCTTCTTCATGTATCCAGTGAAACGAGTGGTGGCCCTATCTGACAAAGATCCTTGCAATCTTATCAATCCGATTGAGGGGACTCATCAATTGGTCAGGGTTTCTACTGATCACTGCTACACAACAACCAAAACTAACAAAAGATCAAATGAGATTGATTATTAAAGTTGTGAAAGAAGTCTTTACTTTTATAAAAAGTTTCTTTATGGAATGAAGTCTCCCAATGCAATGAAAATGATATGATTTTTAAAGTTTCAGTTTAGTAAAAACATACTAGGGCCACATTTATTAGATAAACTGAGACATATTTTAGGTATGTTAGGCTCAATAAATAAAACCTGCTCAAATAAAATCTCACTCAATAAAACCTGCTGCCTAACTAAAATGTCATCCAACTTTAAAATGAGCAATACTCATTCTGGTTTGGTAGGAATCCAAAATCACTCCACCAACATTTTAGAATGACAACTGAATCCAGAGTTATGTCATCACCCCATACGACAAGGCATCTTTGAGTGATCCTCTAAAGTTTTCTATTTTTGCCCTAATTAGGTATAACACTTGAAAAAACAGCATATCACAGAAAACAGCTTAATTTTCATGTAATTTATGCTAATTTTTATTTATTTGTTTGGTTTTTGTTAGGCAGTTGGGTTAAGTGACTTGCCCAGGGTCACATAGCGACTTTGAACTCAGGTCCTCTTGACTCCTGGGTCAGTGCTCTCTAATTTTTATTTAAAGTAGTGTTTTTGCATTATTATAATGTAAAATAATTTCTATTACCTTAATGTGTTCATATTTCACCCTTTTTAATTGCAAAAGATTGACCCAAACAATTCTGTGTTCAAATAGATTAGATATAATGGTGTAGTGTGTTCATATTTTACTTAGGATCAACTAGAAGGGACATTAGAAATCCTGTGGGGAAACTGAGGCCCAGGGAGATTATCTGACTTGCTCAAAGTCACTCAGGTACTAAAAGCCAGGATTCAAACCCTTTTCCAAAGTAACCTTGTTTTAATACCCATAGAAGTCAATACATTACTGTGTCAGTCTTTTTCCAGCTTTCTTCTTTTTCAACATCACATTTATAAATCTGTTTATTTTCCATAGTACACATGTAAATTTGTGAGTAGTGATGGAGACTAGTTGGGCAATTATAAACTTAGCGGAAGCTCCCCAAACTCAAAGAACATCACTGAGGGACTGAATTCCCACACCCTTGGAAGAGACACCACTTCCCATATGGAAGACAGCTTCAAACCTAACTATCTAGGGGGCAGATTTCCCCACTTTCCCGCACAGCTGATTCATAGCTGAGTGTCACCAGGGAATTCTTTGTCCTTTATTGGGATAGGACAGCCAAGTAGTTGAAAAGCAGTGTGCTGTGGAATATTGGCTTTTATTATAAAATCACAATAAAAACTGGCAGAATTGAGAATACCATTTTACTCAGAAGCTTTGACGTACAATAGGTTTCACAATGGACATCTGACCCAATGTCTCATTTATTATATATGGTGTAGTAGCAAAAGCATGACCTGGGAGTTTGAATAACAGAATTCAGGACCTGGCCCTTCCATTAACTGGCTCTGTGAGCTTGGGCAAATTATTATACCTCAGCACCTCAGTTTCCTCATCTCTAAAGTGAGAGGGGCTATGCTATGTGATCCCTAGGGTCACCATCAGATCTGAAGTCTATTATTTTATTTTATAAGGGACAAATGATAAAGGATAGATAGCCTCATACCTTGCCTATGCCATTGGCAATAAGGTTGCAGGTAAAGAAGCCATATTGATGTGGTAACACCAGAGGGGCATCAAACTCAAAGAATTCATCTATGCACTTAAAGATGCAAAAAAAAAATTATTTTTAAATAAAGTAAAATATTTCACAAGCTTAGTATAGCACTATTTTGCCATCGTGTAGAATTTGGCATAATCTAGGAAGGGGCGTCCCTTCAGATCCACTCACGAGACTTACAGCTAGAAGAGATGTCAAGACCATCTGGTACAAACCCCTCATTTTAACAATGAGGAAACTGAGGCCCAGAGAGGTTAAGTAATTTGCTCAATGTCATATGGATAATTCATAGAAGAATCAAGAGTGAACCCATGTCTAATGCTTAGCACAGTACCTGGCACATAGTAAGTACTTAATAAATGTTTATTAATTATCTAATCTCTAACTTCTAAACTTAAATACAGTTTTCTTTCCAATATACCATAATGCTTTCTTCAAAGTAGCTAAATTATTGGTTTAAAAAAAGTCTTTGGGGGTACAGAATAGGGCAATCCTGTGGACCAAGGCAGTTTAATGGCAAGCCTTTATTGTGTATTAACATATTAACTGAATGCACTTTTAAATTTCATGCCTTCTGACTTCCAAGATAGGATGTTGAATATTGGGATATTTTTTTTTTTCAAATACAGCTGCCTGAAAAGAAAAAAAAAACACTAATGTTTTCAAATAGCACTCATTCTAGATAATAAGTAATTGAGGGCTACTTTTGATCCCAGATTTATAATCTGTACCCCCAATGCATAAGGACTTCTATGAATTACAATCAGCAAGAAATCCGAAGAGGCAATAACAAAGAATAAGATATATTGCTCATAGATGAGCGCTAAAGCCAACTCAGTGTAGATTTTGGCATTGAGTGTGTGTGTGTGTATGTGTGTGTGTGTATAAACAAAGTATGTTTTTACCATCATTTAATAAGTATATTTTATAGGAAATAAAGAAAAGTTGCATTAAATGCTAAGAAGACATACATAAATGATAGACTAAGCCAGTCTTAGTGGTTATTGCATAAAAGGTGAACACTTTGGTGTCTTTTTCTCAAAGCCACTTACCCTCTCCCTCCCACTGATAACTTTTTGGTGGTGATGTAGCTGTTGACTCACCATGCTACTGTTTATTTATTATATTTACTCCTTTGGTCTTTTGTTTTAGTTTCAGTTTTGTGTTTTTATTAGGAAACATTAAATTTCCCAAAGTGGATGCACTTGTTTTGGTCATTCTACTAGGGATTTTAAATCAGGAACGTTTTTAATCTGGAAGTCCAATAGCATTTGTCCAAGAGCTTTGCCCTGTTGAATAAATAGAAATCATTAAGCTTATTGCCTACTCCACAGTAACTGCTTTTATTCAACGATACATAGATAAATGTTTTGGAAAAGTAACTTCTATTTCAGCTGGCTTGAGTGAGTGAGATTTTATCAAATACTGTGACTCTATCAAAATGCAATTAGGCACCCAATAACACAGAGCAAATGAAACAACAGAGCCAGAGGTGGGAGAACTGCCTAAATAGTCTAAGAATAGTCTAATTGGGTACATTTTGTTCGAGGAAAAGAAATAAAAGGCCTCAGTGTGTCAATAAGTAGACAACCCATGAATGAGAGAAATTGGGGGGAAAAACAGTGGAAAGTATCCAGAGAGAAAATGTGGTCCATTGCTACTGGCACCCCAAGAAGAACTCCCTTTATGACATCCCCAATAAGTAGTCATCTAGTATCTGCTTGAAGACCTCCACTGATGGGGAACTCACTCCTCAGGATGGCCCATTCTACTTTTTGGAGTGTTAAGAAGCTTTCTCTTAGGGTCACTGAAATCAAATTCTTATTCTGCTGATAACTACCAAAGTTTCTTATCTCATCAAAGATGTCATGTTGCTTATTAACTTAGACAAAAAAAGAATAATTAAACAGTGTCTGCTATGGTGGAAATTCCACATTCCTTTTCTTCATCCAATCCACTGCATTCTAAAATTATCTTAGCTCCAAGGGCCCTGCCCTAAATGCCTAGGTGTTTTGTGCCTACAATGGACTGATTAGAGACACATCTACAGCTATGTTACACTGAAGGCAAATTTGTGTACCTCTAATTTTAAAGTTACGATATCACAAATAAGCATAGTTCTATGTATGCCTAATTTATTAAGACAGTGTCAAATCTAGCAAGAAGAAATAGAATAACAATATAATAGAATAATAATCCAAAGGGCTTTACAAATATTATCTCATTTGATCCTCACAACAATCCTGGCAGGTAGGTGCTGCTATTATCCCTATTTTACAGATGAGGAAACTGAGGCAGAGAAAGGTTAAATGACTTACCCAAGGTCACACAGCTAGTATCTGAGGTTAGATTTGAAATCCAGTTCAATAGAGGAAATAAAGGGAAAATGTGGAAACTGTGTGCTGTTACAAGTTCAAAATTTGAAGCAAATCCCGGGAGGAGGGGATTGGGGGAATGCTTATACTCTTGCTCAGGCTACTTTTTTTTTTTTTGACCCCTGCTTGCTGTCCCTAGATGAATGTAGTATCTAAGATAGTCTCATAAGAATCTCATAGTTTGTTCTTTCTCCTGGTTTCTCCTATTGGTTCTAATTCTTCTTCACAACATGACTAATGTTGAAAATAGGTTTACTACGAATGTATATGTAGACCCTATATCAATTTACATGCCATCTTGGGGTGGGGGGAGGGGAGAGACGGGGATAAAATTTGGAACTCAAAATTGTTGAAAACTAAAAATAAATAAATTTATTTTTTTTAAAAAAAGGAACATCATTGTTTGGAAGGACCTCAGAGGTTCTCAAGTCCAGTCTGTCCCTAAACAGGAAATTCACTCTACAACAACCCCAACAAGTGTTCATTTATCCTCTGCTTAAGAATATAAACTCCTTGAAGTCAATGACTATCTTATTAAGCATATATTAGGTGCTTCCTAAAGGTTTTTTTTTTAAATGAATTACTAAAGTGAACCACCATTGATGGAGAACTCACTACCCTTTAAACAGCCCAGGATTTATAACATTTATATAATTAGAAGATTTGCAAACTGCTTTACTTGTATTATTTGGTCTGGTGCTCTTATTACCCCATTTTACAGATGAAGAATTTGAAGCTGAATGAGGTTACATTACTTGCCCACGTAACACAGCTAGTAAGGATCTGAGGTGAGTTTCCCACTCAGGTTTTCCTGATTCTCAGTTCCATGTTGTGTTCCCTATGCCACTTAACTGCTTGAAGTTTATAAAAGAGTTTATAAAGGACTGAGCAGAGTTATACAGAACTGAAGAGGGGTTCTCAGCCTACTCATGTAATTTGTATTCAAGATATCTCAGAAACATCCATGCCTACTGCATAAATCAAGTTATACCTTTCCTTAGTTGAGAACAATGACAAGGCAGGGGCCTGAACTATGGACCATGTTATGTCTCTTGCTCTCTTAGGGTATCTTCCCTTCCTTCTTTTCCTTTTATGACTCTCTTCCCTCTTTCCTCTTTTTCCCCTGCCCCAACTCCCACCACCCTCAAATGCCAGTTGACTGACTGATTGGCTGGCTAACATGCTGGCACCAATTAATTCTCTTGCCTTTTACTAGCCCAGGCCTAGCAAAGAAGCCAGTTTATTGAAAATGGTCTTCCATTAGAGAACCATAATGTAGTCTACTTTTTCTGTGCCCAGGAAGGTGTTACCCAACTTTAGACAGTAGCTTGACTTACATGACCCTTAAGTAATTCTTATAACAGACTACTTTTTTCCTTTACTTGAGCACAAGATGGCTCAGTTTGGGTACTCAGGAAAATCTTGGTCCCAACAGCCATGTGGATACTGACTGCCCTACATGTGGCATTTCTGTTCGCCTTTTTATAGATGTATAATAGAATTCAGATACTGGGGCATTTTGAGCAGCATCTTAGAAGCTGTCTCCCAAATCGATTGTTTTGTCTAATAAAGCAGTTAATCTTATCTGCCATAGTGAAAATGGTCTTCCCCCACCCCCACAACATTTTTAAGGGTAGTGATCTCCAGGATACAGGAAGGCCCATGCCAGCTAGGCCCCAGAGGGATAAAGGATGCTTAAAGAAGCCATCCTTTCCATAACACTTTTAAAGTGAAGAACTACAAAGGCAAGAGTGAATAAGCCAAGCCAGTCTAATTTTGCAAGACCAGATACCATGGACTAATCAATAAACTCTTTCCTATTACCATATGACTAGAAGACACTGTAGAAAGGAGTGCAGGCTAGAAGATTGGACAGTATCACTAAACCTCCGATTTTTTCCAGGTAAAACTTATACCTGTTTGTTTAAAAATAAAACATCTAATGATTTATTTACACCTACAAAGAAATGTACTATTATGAATTATCCCTGACACCTACCAAGGATTCAACTTAAGAGGGAAACTCCCAAATGCTACAAAGAACGTGCTGGGTTTGGTTTCATCTTTCGATTTTTAGTCCCCGTTGTAGCTATGGCGGGTTATCCTCTAGTCTAGCTTGTCAGGACTCTGCCCTCAGCCTGGTCTCAGCTTGCACTTTGGGAGATGTTAATTATTCTTATCTATACCTTTGTTTCTCTCAGATAAAGATTTCACTGAACCTGTACCATTCAGAGTTATTCACTCTCCAATCAATAGTTTTTCCCCTACTTAGTTCTCTGTGGTTGCTTTACAATTTTTCTCTTTACATGACTACTTCCAAATCCTATTAATCAATTGTTATTGATTAATATAATGATTACTGATTAAAGCACATATAAATTTTACTACTAGAAGTAGCTGCAATGGAAATTAATTTAATTCTCTTCCTCTCTCAGTGGGTCATCCTGGATTGTAATGAATATTAAGCACAAAAGTAAGCCAAAGAGTCCCTGGTAACACTTCTTTCAGGGTGGAGCTGTAAGCTGACTGGTCACAACATCCTCTCAGATATGCTTGTGACATAAATACTCTGTTTTGCATGGCTAAACATATATAACCTATATTAAACTGTTTGCCTTCTCAATGGGGGTGTGGGGAGGTAGGAAGGGAGAGAATTTGGAACTCAAAGTTTTAAAAACCAATGTTAAAAATTGTTTTTACATGTAACTGGGAAAAAACAAAATACTGAAATGAAATTTTAAAAAAAGAAATTCATTCAAAATCTAGATACATACTTGTGGGTCATTCCTCAAGGATGCGAGGCCGCCACCACCAAGGGAGTTTTTCAAAACAAAGTTTAATGCATATATTCCTGGTAACTCATATCTGCAAAGATAACACAGTTGATTATCATTCATTTTGTCTGTATAGGTGCTGCTAACACATCTCTGGGCCAGCTTGCTGCTGTCCAGAACACAAAAGATTCAGGTGGAAATGAACCAGGAATACAGTGGGCAGAACAACAATCAGTCAATGAATGAGCATTTATTAAAGATCAACTATGTACCCTGAATAACGACAGTAATAATAATAGCTAGCATTCACATAGAGCTTGAAGGTTCGCAAAGCACTTAACAAATATTATTTTATCCTTACAATAACTCTGGTAGGTAGGTTCCCACCTTTCCAGATGAGGAAACTGAGGAAGACAGAAGTTAAGTGACTTGCAAAAGGTCACTCAGCTGGGAATTGTCTGAGGCCACACTTGGTTAGGTCTTCCTGACTCCAGGTCCAATGCTCTATCCACTGTGCTACCTATAAATCTATAACTAGCATTGACTTCAGTGGCTATGTAATCCAACCTAGACGTGAAAAGGAATCCCTGCTGTAAGACACTTGACAAAGTGAGTTAAAATCCGGCCTCAGACCAAACACTCGACACTTACTAGCTGTGTGACCCCGGGCAAGTCACTTAACCCCAACTGCCGAAAGAAAAAAAAAAAAAGAAAGAAAGAAAAAGATACTTGACAAGCCAGCATCTCCTTTAAGACCTCCAAGAGAGGGAATCCCTATCTCTGAAAGCAGCCCAATTCACTCTTGGATAGCTTTAATTCTTGGGAAGTTCTTCCTAATATCAAGCCCCTTTGCACCTCATGGGTACCTAATCCAAGCCCTTCATTTTACAGATGAGGAAAATGAAGTCCAAAAAAGGTAACTGGCATGCACAGCATCATGCAGGTAGTAAGTAGGAGATTGGCGATTCAGACTAAGGGCCGGTGTCTCCAAACTGTTTCCACTGCACTGTATTAATCCTTAGATTTCAGAAGCTCATTCAATTAGGAATGAAAAAACCTGTTGGTAAACAAGGAGAAAAATGGTATTTCAGGTATAAGGAGTAAGTGAAAAAAAAATGGAGACAGAATTGGGAATTATCAAGTGGAAATGCCATTTGATTTAGGCAAAATAGAGTCATGGACAGAGGGATGGCCTGTCCAAGTCCTACCATATGTATCATATACCTGTGTGACCATGGACTTAAATCTCAGCAATTCTCTAAGAGTAAAGGTTAGGGAGAATCTGCACTAATAAAGGGAGTTTCAACATAGGGAGTTCTCCTACATCAGTGATTTCACCAATATGAACCAGGAGAAAAAAAAAAGAGGATACTTACAGAGGAGTAGGAGGAGCTGGGAGACAGAGTAGGTAGTCTGACATCTGATCATTTTTAAAAGATGACTTTTTATGTTTCATTTTAATGAAATAATTAATGTACTAGATGCCAGGGATTACAAAAATGAAATAATTCAGGGATAGTTACACATACTAATGCCTGCTTCCAGGGAGACAAAAGGTGGTGAAATTCTTGAATTTGGGGATTCTGAACTCTGCACTGGGTTAGGTCATTTGGGTGCCTCCACGAAGTTTGGTATTAATATGGTGAGCCCAAGGAATTAGAGTGGGGAGGGAGGCAAGAGGAGACACTGAGGTGCCTAAGGAGGAGTGACCCAGCTCAGGTGGGAGACAGTGCAGGTCAAAACTCCCACACTTATCACAGTGGAATCAGACCAGTAAGTATCCCCTATACCTCCATCCTGGGCAAGTTAGGAAGACCCAGTCTTTAAAAAAACAAAACAAAGTCAGTTATTGCCCTCAAAATTCTTACAATCTAGTGAGGAAGAAAACTAAATATGAATAAGTATAATAAAAAATAGGTTAAGTATATAGGAAATGTATGGTGTACTCTGGGAGGCCCTACTTATTTATGGTTCTCAGGTAATAGACATCAATAATATATAAACTAAAGGCAACTAGGTGGCACAGTGGATACAGCGCCAGCCTTCAAGTCAGGAGGATGTGAGTTCAAATCCAGTCTCAGACACATGACACTTACTACCTGTGTGACCCTGGGCAAGTCACTTAACCCCGGTTGCCTCACCAAAAAGCAAAATAATAATAATAATGATTATATATATATATATATATATATATATAAACTAATTCCATTTTGAAAATAGTATTAAATATTATGAGTAGAGTTAAAATATATATATATATAATATATATATATATCTGTATACGGCAGCATAGATCCACCAAGTTAAATATCCTCATAATCATCATCACATTGATCAATGCAGATTATATAAGGCAACAGCAGAAACTATGCAAAGCATCATTGTAAGCAGCAAAAAATTTAGCACCTACCAAATACTTCGTAAAACTCAACCTGGTGGCTAGAATTATACATCAGAAAAATCTCTATTTTTCATAAATAAATAGATGACAAGTAACTACAAGCATAACTGTCTCCCAAAGTTCTGTCTTTGACCCTATTCTCCTTTCTATGACTGCTCTTTCCCTTGGTGATCTAACTTACTCCCATGGTTCTAGCGAATACTATTATGCAGATGATCCCCAAATCTCAATTTCCAATTCTAGTCTCTGCCTAGAGTTCCATGACCATATTTCCAGCTGCCTTCTGGATATCTCCATGTGGATGGCCCACTGCCACAGCAGGCTCAATTAAAATTGAATTCATCATCTTCCCCTAAAACCTGCTTCTCCCTGTAACTTTTCTATTTCTATTAATGGCAACACCATCTTCCCCAGTCATCTAGACTCATAATTTTAGAGTCATCCCCCTCCCTACCATTACAAATCTAATCACTTGCCAAATCCACTTGATTCTATCTCTTCATCTCTCATTTCTTATCCTCAACTTCAACTGCAAATGAGGCCATTTTGTCTTTTCCCTTATGGTACTACAATAGCCTCTGGTCTCTCTGTTTTCTGAATCCATCCTTCATAGCATTAACTAAATAATCTTCCTAATGCACTGCTATGATCATGTTATTCTATTCAGAAGTCTTCAGTGGCTCCCTATTGCCTACTGATTAAAGTATAACCTTTTCATCTGGGCATTTAAGACCCTCTGCATTCGCTTCATTCTACCTTCCCAGCTTTATCTCACAATCCTCCCCTTCATACTCTATATTTAAACCAAAAAGGACTACTTTCAATGTATTTTTTTCATCCTACCATCTTCCATCTCTGTACCTTTGCTCATGCTTTTCTTATTGTACATAGATAGGCCTCCCCTACCCCATTCTCCATCTGTTGAAGTCCTTCAAGGTCCCTTCAAGTCCCTTCAAGGTCCAACTTAGGTGTCACCTATTCCATGAAGTCTTACCTGCAACTTCCCTCTATTGGTTAAAAATGATCTTTCCCTCCTGATAGTTTTCATCACTCTTTGTCTGGACCTCTCCTTCACCCTTTCCTTTTCCTTGCATCATAATTATTTGTGTATCTTTCCCCCATTAGATGTTAAGGTTCTTGAAAAGTAATGCCTGTGTTGTAAATATCTTTGTTACTTCAGCATCTGCTACAATGCTTTGTACAAAGTTAACTGACACTTAATGGATGCTTATTGAATGAATGAAAGATCCCATGGCACCCTCATAGTGGAGGTATTCACCTTATTTTGCAACCACTTTTGGATTCACTATTTAGTGTTTGCCCTAGAATTAAGATGAGCAAAAACTGACTTCACCATTTACAGCTTTTGATTTAGGACTCAGAACTAGGGGTCTTACCTTAAAATAATTTAATGTTTGTTTGTTTGATTGTTTTGAAACCCAACATACCTTGCTAGAAATGTGGACAGTGCCAAGAAAGACTTTTCTCTCTGATGTTTCCTGTTCATATTTAAGCAATTATAAAATCTGAGCTGTCCAGTTCACCTATGCCCAAACAGATTCTATGGTTCCCATATACTTAAAAAGTTAGAGTCGTATTTAAGATTTTCTAAATTTATTTCAAACCAGGGACCAACAAGAGGTATACTCTATATTACTCTTCCCTTAAGTGAATTGGGGAATGTTGCTAATGATACTTTGGCTAAATTTTTCTGCTACATATAATGAGGCATGAGAAATAAATATTTCTCTCTTTAATAACTAATTATTGTATTAGGACCAAGGTTTTCCCCCTTTTCTACTTCTTCAATCAGAAACCAACCACTGTGGGAAATCTTTTTTTAGAGATTTAGCCTGGCCAAGATCGAATCAGATAGTAACAGATAATTCTAAGTTTGGCCTAATGGGTGTATTCCTACTTAACGTGTTTGTACTGACTGGTCTGGGAAAATGTGATTCTCCCTATTATCAAGATAAGTAAAATGGAAATTGATGATTCTTCGACCAAGACTTGGGTGACCTAAGTCACTACCCCAAGATAATCCATTTCCCATTGTGTAAACCAATCAGAGCTGATTAGGCACCCCTGGGGAATGCCTACTCTTTGAAGGACATAAAAACCATAAGCCTACCACCATTAGGGGTCTTTGGTCTAAGAGACATGACCAAATGACCATCCTTTTATTAATAATGTGCTGTCCTTATTAATAAAATGATTAAATTACACAGAAACCAAGTTTCTTAAACTTTTTTAATCATCACGGAGGACTTTCCATGACTTTCAATTTAATTCAGATAATTCTTTTTTATTAAAGCATTTATTAAACCCTTATTAAGTGTTAGACATTGTACTAGGTTCTGGGGATACTGAACTGAAACAATCTCTGTCCTCAAGAAGCTTATGGTCTACTTATAAATAAATACAAAGCATACAAAGTAAATGTATAAAATATATGAATATAAATAAATGTGTACACACACAGGGGTGTACTAATAAATATTTAACAACCAGCTCTCTAAAAGCAAATGTATGCATGACACACTTTTCAATTTAATCTGAATTATTAACATTTTCTCCATCACTTTCTCAAGTGTAAACAATCAACAAAACAATAAGCCAAGCCCTAATTTGTTGTTGCTGTTGTTCAGTCATTTTCCAGTCATGTCTAACTCTTCTTGACTGCATTTGGA